ATAGACTACCGGTATTGGATAGCGCAAGGTTGACAGGCCCGTCTTCCCCCCAGATGAAACAGATGAAACAAGATGAAACGAGATGAAACGAGATGAAACAAGATGAAACAAGATGAAACGCCAATGTACGGGCGCAGATGGGGCCGAGATGAAACGAAATGAAACAAGATGAAACAAGATGAAACAAGATGAAACAAGATGAAACCAAATGAAACTCGAAGTACGGGCGTAGATGGGCCGCGAATGAAACAAGATGAAACAAGATGAAACAATGTACGGGCGGAGATGGGCCGCGCGCAGTGCACCCGGCGTGACGTGCACGAGCGAAAAGAACTGAATTAATCCAATCATTGAAATAATTTTGTTTGCAGAGGCAATTCGCGCAAGGGAGGTATAGGAATTTGATGGCTTGCGAGTGACAGCACGAGCCGAATTTATTGCCCGTGGAAGTACCCACGATAGGAATACACTGTTGGGAACATGGTGGCGCCGCTGACGGTACCTATGTAAGTGGAATTACTTTATTGGAAGTACCCATGACGGGGAAAATAGTCTCTCTAGTATTGTCGGTGAATGGTGATGGTGGTGGTGGCGATGGCTACTTTCCTCTGCTCAGAGAGAACCCCTGCATGTCCTTCGTCGTGATGCGAAAGAGCAGTGGATGCAGGTAAAGGCCGTGTCAGAGAATTTCGCCTAGTGCTGTGGCCAGGGTGAAAATAAATTAGGGCTGAAACGATCATTCAATAACTCCAAGCGATCAACCAATCTCTTTAGCGATGAATATCATTGTAACATAGAAAAATGTGGGCACAAGTTATGCAATCGAGTCCACCACCTAAACCAGATTTCGAATAGTCAGACGTGCACAATCTAGCACAAAACTGACAAGGAGTATGAGTACTGAGACATTGAGATCAATTATAATTGTTGGTTCATAATTATAGATTCTTTCCGGCTGTAGTCGTGCACCTCGAACACAAGACTATGAAGAAATTCCATGATGCCTTTGCTACATTAGCTGTGGCCACCAGTCAAACACTCTAAATATACCCAGGCTACCGCTCAGTGTTTGGTATTCTGTAAACATTTCAGGCAATTGTGTCGACACCTGTAGACATCTGACTGGTCTAAAGCCTAGTTCACATTCGACGTAACACTGACGGTACAGGACGTAAGGGCCTGTCAGGACGGCTGGGGTGAGCTGTAAGTATATGTTATCGCATGGTTGCAAGGGCCTTATGGCATATTATTGCCCCGAGAGGTTAGCCCGAGGGCTAACCTCGAGGGGCAATAATATGCCATAAGGCCCGCAGCAACCATGCGATAACAAATTTATCACATGGCCCACAGAGCAGACCATTGGGCCGCTGTTGAAATTAGCCCAAATGCCAACACATTATGACCACAATGTATATTGATGTGCTATCATTATCAAAACAGGAAAAATGAAGATATTTCTCCTACACCCTAACAAAAAGTCTGCTGCAGGCCATCAGAGAGTATACAGTACTGAAAGACGGAGACAGAAAAAAAGTGCCGGCACCGCATCGTCATAGCAATAGACATGGCAACGACAATAAAATACAGCAGAATCATAATTTCAGTTGAATAATTAAATTAAGAGTGCTACCACAAAGAGTTTCTTCATGTTTACATGTGTATCAGGAAGTTGTCAAATACAGTACTGCAACAAGTGCAAGTATTTGACGACTCCCTGGTGTGTAATTCTGAGGACAATTTTTCTTCTTTTTTTCAGCTCCAGATAGCTGTATTTTTCATTGAAAAACATTCCTGAATTGTTGTGTTTGTTGTTCAAGCAAAGGTGAAGGCAGAGGACAGATGAGCCTGGTAAGAGTTTTGCGTGGCACATGAAGACCACACACAGGCAGTGACTTTGCGAGGATTTGAAAACGCACGACGCTGAGTTGAATTTGTGTTATTTCAAACAATTGTTTGCGATCACAGTACCACTTCGAGCAGAACTGAATCTTATCCACAAGCTTACCGACGGTCAGGCTGCCAACATGACTGAACAAATGATCCCTGCAAGCACCACACGGCAGACGTCCGAGGCCATGTCCATTGCCGGGATGTCCATCTCCAAAAAGAATTCCATCTTCGTCTCAATGCTACACTGCGACTCGTCGTAGAGTCGTACAGTCTACAGAGACGTCGTAGTCACGCGATCACTGAAATAAACTATTTTTTTGCGGGCAAATAAACTATTTTTTTGCGGGCAATATCGCATATTATTGCCCGCGGCGCGAAAGGTGCTGATTCGCTGGAGTACGGGAAACAATCACGTGCCATGTGATAAAATCTTTTACGATTCGTACGACACGACATGCTGCAGTCGTTGCGATGTTCTCCAGCGAACGGCGCGAGTCATAAGGCACAGTCCGTGACGGGGTGACTTTCGGACCTAATTTCTTGTTTTTCGGGACTTCTTTTCAATTATTTCTCCTTGAATGAAGCGAAATCAAATTCACAATACCAGTTTTTCATGGAGACAAAAAAGTAGCCCTGAAAGTTGTGCCATTCGAATAGTAGCCCTAGGAAATGATAAAACAGTTCATCTGTCATTCTCCTAAACTATCCCTAAATACCATAAGTGACATGAGATCTTATCTTGCTAAAATTCAACTCAAGTCGTGTTAGCCATTCTGCGAGTTATCATGGGAAGCGCAGTGTTCGAAATCCTAAAAATTTCCCAGTACGAATCGGGAGTGGATGGCGCACGACGCCGCCTCCTGTTCTCACTCAAAATGCAGCCGTTTTGTACGCTTGCGTCTCCGTCTATGCCCGTCTACGGTATGAAAAGTTGAACTGATCCAACACTTCCCGTCGCTTCCCGATCCGTACGGTAGTATGGTTGCGTTCCCGTTCCTGGTGTTCACATTGGACGCCGTCAGACCGTCCTGTCGCTTCCCATCGATCCTTACGCCGCGTCCCGTCGAATTTGAACTAGGCTTTATCAATATGAACTAGAGGAGTTCATGTTGTTGTTTCTAGAACGAAGAATCAGGCTTGTCGTCACCCTTTGGCTCGAAGCTCTTATCACCAACTTCCGCAACGAATCAATCGAAAAGATACCGTCTTGACTCCCAATCTCTTTCATAGCCACGCATCAATATTACTGCGCTTGAAAGTACACGATTGCACTCGTATCCACAATTGGATGGAGTGCAAGGGCTAGAATACTGCCACTGGTATGCATGCATGAAAAATCGTTTGCATTCGCTTTGAACACTAACGATTATCGATTGCGCTCTTAAAACGATCGGTTTGCGAGTTATCTGTATACTTGTTTCAGCCCTAAATGCATTGCCCTCGTAGAGGACAGGGATGAGCAGTGATATGAGCAGGGATGTGAGTACTGATGTGCCTTTCGTCATCATATTTTACAGAGAAGACGTCTGCCCCCAATAATAAAATTAATGTAGTAATGATAATGTGTTGCCCTTTCATCTTCTCAGGAGCCCTATGCCTTTGCCTCTTCTCCCCTGGACTGAATGGACTGGACGCTCTGTCCAGTAGTGTCCAGTAAATGATTTGTAGTGTAAGTTAGGGTGCACTCTCTCTTGAGGATTTGCCCACCTTGATGATTGTGCTCTTCGTGTTATTAGAAAATGTCTCTACCTGCCAGGATGGTATAAGAGCACGAACTGAATCACCTGTTGGTGCAGAAGGCTTGGAGGACTGCTTTTGAAACAGTTGTTCAAATTTCCTGCACCTCTTCGTAGCCGTTGTCTGATTGCTGCATTCTGGGGAGACTGAATTTAAGGTTAGTGAAGCTGCACAGTCCCCGTGGAAATGTTTATGCTGCAACTATTTACTGCTGACATGTATTTATGTATTTCAGGAATCTCCAGAGGGTGAAGGCTTGCTGCAAGCTCCGTCCCTTCAATGTCGTGATACATCCGTAGATCAGTCGTGTGCCTGTCCTGTGCTTTTATGAGCATGCTCCTTTGCACATGCCTTTGTCCTGTGCATGCGTGGGCGCGCGCGCGCGCGCGTGTGTTTGTGTGTGTGTGTGTGTGTGTGTGTGTGTACGCCAACGACACCGTCCGTGCACATGTGCATGGACGTGAGTTTGTGCGTTTGCCTTTGTTATATGCATACAGTATTATCAATTTATCATGCCTATACAAGCCTTGCCAGTGTCTCGATAGGAGAAGCAGATACATGATTACACCACTTGGGTTTTGACCTTCTTTGGCCGGGGCGAATGTCGAAGGAAAGACTCCCTCTGGGCCAAGGTGTTGGCGACAGTTGAGAGTTGTCCTCTATTTTGCAGCGGGGGACAGCATGGCATATTTGGTGCCGGAAAGAGTGCAGTTGCACTTTTCATGTTACTGTAAAATTTGCTAGGTCAATCCCTTGAAGCTGGAGACTGCTGATACTGCTGCTCAAACGGCTGCTGCTGTTACTCTCTGCTGCTACCATGGTCGTTGCTTTGTATCAATGGCGAAAATTCTCAGATGAGCTTTGGGTCCGGGCACTAGAACCCTGCTGCTGCCTCTGCAGCAGTTGTAGAAAGTTTTATAATACCAGTGTCGATGGTGAACTTCTGCTCTTTTTTTTATCCCAGACACTTTGTGCTCAAGAGACTGTTAGGTCTTTGTGGTGTTGTCGTTGCTGTTTGGTTATACTAGTTGGCGTCTGTTTGGAAATATATTGTGCTTTTCTGTGTGTTCATGTGAACGTAGAAGCCCTCACCGAAACCAACACTACGTTGCTGTGTTGTTTTCTTCCAAGGTCGGGCACAGTAAAGGAGACGACTCTATGAGTATATTCGCAGATGAACTTTGGGTTAATAGAATGCAGGTGCTGCTGCTCTTGTGCCAGGCTGTTGGTGTCAATGATGGGGTGGATCATGCTTTCTCTTTATATACCTTTTGTATATTTGTGTGTAATTAGGAGCACATACCAACACGTAATCTTTCTAAAGCCTAGTTCTCTTTCGACGCAACGCTGACGGTACGGGACGTAAGGGCCTGTGACGGCTGGGGTGAGCTGTAAAATCTTGTACAATTCGTACGACACGACATGCTCCAGTCTTTGCGATGTTCAACAGCGAATGGTGCGAGTCATAAGGCACAGTCCGTGACGGGGTGACCGTCCCGGCGTTTCCCGTCGATCCTTATGTCGCGTCCCGTTGCGCCCCGTCGAATGTGAACTGGGCTTAACAATGGCATGGAGACAGTTTCAATTGCAGTTTAATGTTACTGCACTGCACTGCAGGTATCAAGGCACTACCCAGAGGGAGGATGTTGGCCTTCTCCTGATGGGAAAATGTCTTCTTTCTCATGGCGTGGCCAGGACTGCACTGACCCTACCATCCACTCTACCTCTCCGGAAAGGGACTTGACAACCAGTCAAGATGGATGTGCAGAGATATACCAGCGGTAAGTCACATGCTTAGGATATCCACTTGATGAAGGAAGGACAGGTGCTCAACTACTACACCAAAATGTGAGCATAAGGAGATGGGCTGATGGGTCATGGGTGGGTGACAGGTCTTTGCCCGGTTGCTGGAGTATAACAACCTGGGTCTTTGATTGGTTTAGAACAGGTCTTTGCCCGGTTGCTGGAGTATAACAACCTGGGTCTTTGATTGGTTTAGAAGCGGTCCGCTCTATTTGGGGTGCCATCCTCAATTAGACGGGCAGTGAAGATCTTGCAGGATCAATCGCACATGTAGAATATGGACATGTGGATGCGGGCAGCAGATCTGTAATTTCCAGTATCAAAGTTCAGTTGTATTTGCTTTTCTTTATTTTCTATTTGTGATGTTGTTCACTGCAGCTTCTAGCATTAACTGCCAATTTGCACTGACGCAGCAAGACTCCCAACAGTCAAGTATGTTTCATTGCATGCACTAGGATTACAGTAGAATGCCGATTATCCGAATGTCAACTGTCCAAACGGTCAATTATCCGAAATTCCTGTTTGCACTGAATTCAATTCAATAAGTCGACTTATACCGGTAAAATATGGTAACAGCGGGACTGTAGGGTGTGGCATTTCCATGATACAGTGGAAAATTTCACGATTTTTGGTGCAAACATAGCTCGGACGCTGCTCGATTGGATATACAATGCAGGTTCTTGGAACCACGGACACGACTCTTCGATTCAAGGATCACAACACTTCGGGATCTGAACGTTTTAGGTCCGGGAGCTGTTCGCGGTTTTGTCGCTTGTCACGGTTGTGGACTCATCGTTGTAGCATAAATGAGGCTGGACTATTCCAAGCGGAAAACTAAAATATTTCTTTCTCAAAGCACAATCACTGGCCCGGAGGAGCACACCTTCTCTAACTACATACCGGGTGCAGTACATGACACGTCCGTGTATTGACTAGTCTCTTGTACATTTAGATCTACCACACGACTCGCGTAGCGCTAGCACAGCAGTGCGGGTGTAGTCATGTACTACTACTACTACTACAGTACTGCCGGGCGCCGAAGAACGGCCAGGCTATAATTTCGCTATTTTTTAAGAACGGTCTAAGTAGAAACGTAATGTACAATATGAATATGATGTACACTCAGACGTATAACTCTGCATAAATGTACATGTAAGACTGTACCATCGAATATGAACGAAACTGCTGTGTTCGCCAAAAATAAGAACGGGCTAGGCTAGAACCCTGACCCCGTTCTTCGGTGCGCGGCAGTACTGTAGTGTAGTGTTCCGTATGTTTGTTGACTATGGCATGCACGCAGAAGCCAGCGGATGTAAAAAGTCCAACTCGGAAACGGCTAAAAACGGGGTATCCTCAAATTTTGCCGAGCTGAAAATCACAGGGTACGTAGGGCTTGTAACAGTGAGTCGAATGCTCTTGGTCCGAAGAAGCTGCGACAGATGGTTCTCAAATCGAACGCGTTTCGAATATTGGCCATTTTGCACACAAATAGATGGTGTGGCTACCTGGCTGCACACTGTGACCTTATCACCTGGATCAGGTAGACTGCGTGCTCGCTTTCGCTCATTTTCGATTGGGCGTATCTGACGAACCATGGACCGCAGCCTCCTCGGAAAAGAACATTCGACTCAGCGCCCCAAACTCTACGGGTCCTGAAATTAAAAAAATTCAGCAGACTTCCCCTCTAATACGTAAGGCAGTACTCATTACAGTCCTTGATTAGAAGTTGACATATTCTTGTACGAATCCGGTGGCAGCCACAACAATGTCTTTTGTGAAAAATGTATGCAAGCCTTTTAAAAAGCATCTCCCACCAGGCATTCGATCGCATTTTTCATGGCGTGGAGATTTGTTACGGCGTGAACCGATGCTTGGCGTGTAGAATTTGCTTTTTGATGTGTTCTTTGGAAGATGCAGTCTTAAAAATGGTGTGGATGTCTTTGTTTCTGTCCTTCTGCTGTCCTCGTAGAAAGAATAATATAGACGTGCAGAAAATGTAGGAGAGCGATGACATCAGAAGGACACTCTCAGGTTCAGGGTACCTGTACTGCCCCAATAAATTGGGTCAGATCCCAAAACAAGGTTGGCCGAAGCAAAAAAAATAGAAGAGCCTGCCTTGAATTGAATATGAGGAAGAAGAAGAAGACAAAGAAAGAAAAAGAGTAGGAAATTGCTTGTGTAAACTTTATTTCCTCTGTCTAGGCTGCCATCGCATTATAGCAGCCAACAGTGTGTGTGTGTGTGTGTGTGTGTGTGTGTGTGTGTGCGTGTGCGTGTGCGTGTGTGTGTGCGTGCGTATGTGTGCATATGTGTGCATATGTGTGTGTGTGTGTTTGCGTCTGTGTGCACACGCTTGTGTGTGTGTGTGTGTGTTTGCATGTGTGTATATTCTGCTAATCTTGACTTAAATTTCCGCATCTGGGCATATTGTGTTCTGCATGTGAATTTATCTTCATTAACTTGTGCACTACGTTCCTTTCTTCACGTTACGGCACTTTAGTATCGTTTTACTTGAACATCATACTCTCGCCTAACTTTGTTTCACCAACAAAGGTTTATTCTCCAAAGTATTTCTAATTGATTGTGTATGAGTTTCATACTACTGTCAGGGGCGTCGGAAGGTATTTTAGTGTGGTACGGTCAGCCATCTGAAGTACAATTGACTCGTGGGGGAGTGGTGGCTGAGCCGAAAATTTTTGAATTTTAGATCCCCAGTGTATTTTGTTGACTCACGGGTATCTGGGGCAAAAAGTGGTACGGTCAATACCGTAGTGACCGTACCGTGTGCGACGCCCCTGACTGTTGGAATCCACTAGCTGTGTTTCCTTGAGGGGCGTATCCTTACCTGGGATGTGTTTTCTCATTCCCGGCAGCAGAAAGAGCTCTACAATATGTATATAATTTAAGAATAGAATTTGATGTACAGGAGAGTGCCAATTATCCCCACCCCTCGGTACGCGGGCTGTCTCCAGAGGGTTCAGATGAGAAGAATGTTCGGATAAGAGAGCAGTCACACATCTATCTAAATCATGCATATTCCAGCATGTTTTCATCATTTTCGTTCTCTTCAGCAGTGAAACAGGAACTAGGTGCACTCATGCTCCTCTAAATTAATGACACTATTATTACACATTTTGACTCAAACCTGTTTTAATACATCTTGTGAATCGCTTCAATGGTGCCCCGAGCGACGAAAATCACTAACTTTGAAACTCATCTTCTACCCCTCAATTAAATGCAAGCAATTATTTTGGATAATTAATCATTTGGATAGTTGACATTAGGATAATCGGCACATTGTGTGTGATGGGGGGGGGGAAGAGGAGGAGGCTGCGAGAGGCCGTGGTGGACGTGTACCGGCTTGTGCACAGCCTGGAAATAGCCTCACTTTAGATGTATGCACATTCAAACGGTGGATGCTTCCCGCCATCCTTTTCCCCCTCTTTTTCCTTTTCCCGCCATTCTTTACCCCCTCTTTTTCAATTTCCCGCTCTTCTTTTCCCCCTCTTTTTCCCCCTTTTTCTCCCCTTTTCCCCCTTTTCTGCGAGAAGATTAGCCCCCTCCTTGCGCAAAGCAAGCAACACATTCAGCACCAACAGGCCTGTCAGTGCCAGTGTCTCAAGTAAAAGCGCAATCACCTCACTTTCATCGTCTGTAGGTGCACCCACAAGCTCCAGCTCTACTCCACCAGTCAGTGTGAGTGCAGGGAGCAGTCACCACTCCAGTTCTAGTACCAGTAATAGCCATAGCATCAGTTCCCGCACCAGTAGCAGTGCGCCAGCAGCAGCAGCAGGCCCCACAGTGCCACTGAGTCTGGCCAGCAACACCAGCGCACCTGTAGCTGTACAAGCAACCAATAGCAATGTACTGCCCAGGCAATCAGCCCCTGTTCACTCCAGCAGGGTACACACAGCAGTCATGAGTGGAAGTAGCCAGAGACCAGCCCATACATTACACCAGTCTGTGGCCGCCGTCCCATTTGTACCTCGAGCCAGTTTCAGGCCTACACAGAGTGTGGCACATGGCCATGGCGGCAGCTACAATGGTCTACCAGTACCAACTCCATCGAGGCCATCTAGTTTTGCTGCACCACCAGCTGGAGCCACAGACGTCTTCAGCAAAATGAGAAGCATTTCAATACCCGTGTTTGATGGTGATAAGCGTGCCTATGAGTTATGGAAGGCCACGTTCCTGGCGTGCGTGGACAGTGCGCCAATCAGCCCAACCCTGAAGCTGTTGCAGCTACGACAGTATGTAGCGGGAGAGGCGCTAAGATGCATCGAGCGGCTAGGGTACGCCCCGGACTCATACCACAAGGCAATGGAACGCCTGGAACGGAAATTCGGAGGTACGCGGCGCCAAGTGATGGTGTACTTAGATGAACTGGAACGATTCAAGCCATTGCACGGAGATCGAGTCAACGCACAAGATCTGGAACAGTTCTCAGATTTGTTGGAAGTAGCCGTGACCAACTTGAAAGCAGCGGGTCGCCAATCGGAGCTAGAGGTGGGCACTCTGTACGCGCGAATCCAGCAGAAGCTGCCAGAAGACCTGCTGACAAGATACCATAGGTGGCTCTATGAGCATCAGCGCCCAGAAGGGGTGGAGGCGTTGCTCGAGTGGGTCAATCTCGAGGCCGACTTTCACATTACCGCCAATGAAGCCATCGCAGGCCTAGCACCTGGTCGCCATAGACATGGCCGAGAGCGCCCAGCAGCCCGAGGCCACTCATTCCATGCAGCAGAGTCACCCAATCCGACAGCGTGTCCAGTATGCTCCCAGGACCATCAAGTGTGGACATGCAAAGAGTTCAAGGAAATGGATGTGGACAAGCGTTGGAAAGTGGCAAAAACACATCGGCTCTGCTATCGCTGTCTGGGCAAGGGCCACCGAGGTGCTGACTGCCAGCGGAAGAGAAAGTGTGGCGTAGACAAGTGCAGCGATACCCACAACTATCTGCTTCACAGGGCAGTAGCCATTGACACGTCTAGAGCCAGCAATGGCACGGAAAGGGGTCGTACCAGTGAGACAGCCAGAACCACAACCACTGCTAACATCGGAGCAGGCGCCAGACCGTTGTCACTGAGAACCTTGCCGGTCGTTTTACGAAACGGTGACCGCAACCTCAGGGTGAATGCGCTGTTGGATGATGGGAGCACCCAAAGTTATGTGAACACAGAGGTAGCGGACCAGCTCAACTTGCAGGGACCCATGAAACGGGTTTCGATCAGCACCCTCAACGGAGCAGTGGAGTCTTTCGAGTCGATGCCAGTGGATCTGCTGGTAGAGAGTGTAGATGGCAAGTTCATCAGTCCGTTCTCAGCCATCACAACTAGTCACGTCACAGGCACACTGAAACCGTACGATTGGACCGTCGAGTCAAGTCAGTACCATCATCTGCTGGACATACCCTTCGAACAGCCAGCAACTCGCCAGATTGATATGCTGATTGGCCTGGATCATGCCGAGCTTCACTACTCTCTGGAGGAGGTGAGGGGTGATCAGGGAGAACCGGTGGCGAGGAGAACCGCGCTAGGTTGGACCTGTGTTGGACCTGTGAGTGGAAGCTCAGATCATCACCGCACTCACTTCAGCAGAGTCGATGACGGTAATCTGGAGATGCTGGTCCGGCGTATGTGGGAGGTGGAAGAGCCTCGCCGACAGAGCCCGCTTGCAGCAAATGACCGACAAACTCTTGCAGATGCAGAGGCAGCAACAAAGTACTGCAACGGCAGGTACACCGTCAAGCTGCCTTGGAAGAGAAGCCCGCCAGAGGAGAACGGTAGCTACGAGATGGCACTGAAGAGACTGCGCTCGACGGAGAAACGTCTCCACAAGGAACCAGAAGTAGCAAAGGAGTACTGCCGTGTACTGCAGCATCATGTGAACGCTGGATACGTGACTGCAGTAAAGCTCGAGTCAACAGGTGGTTGGTACCTCCCGCACTTTCCAGTCACCAGACCAGATGCAACAACAACTAAAGTGAGGGTGGTCTTTGACGCATCAGCCAAATGCAAAGGAGCAAGCCTGAACGACTACCTCCACCCAGGACCGAAGCTGCAGAGAGAGCTACCGCACATATTGCTGCGATTCAGGGCAAAGCCAGTTGCTATCGTGGCCGATGTAGCAGAGATGTACCTCCAGATCGAGCTGTCTGAAGATGATCAGAAATTTCATCGTTTTCTGTGGCGGGACTTGGATGCGTCAAAGGAGCCAGTCGCCTACCAGTACCAACGGGTGGTGTTTGGCGTGAATTCGTCCCCATTCCTAGCACAAATGGTGTCTCAGAAACATGCTGAGCAGCTAAAAGAAGATTTCCCACGTGCTGCAGAAGCGGTGTTGAAGTCGACTTTTATGGATGACACTATGGATTGAATTGCCCTAACAGTACAACAGTCGTCCAGTTTTGCAGCCATTTATGTTTCTGTACAGCTAGCTTATAGCTCGTTACGTTTCGTTTTCTTTTCTGATAGTTCAGTTTAGTTGTATCAACGTTGATACTTACCGGTAGTTGTATCAAGGAGGGTGGAATGAGTAGACGGTGAACCTCTTTCAGTAGTCTATGTATGGTGTTATGGCAAACCACTGCCGCTAGCCTTTGGGTGTCATTACGTTCATGGTAACTCCAATGCATTCCCGGAATCAACGTGCCCTTCTTTGGTGTCAGTTATGCTGTGTGCACGCGTAGAGGTGATACATTTATTGTTCCTGTGTGGACCAGTCTAATCATAATTATTCCTGGCTGTTCTTTTGTGCTATTCATGCTATTCATGATGCATGTAGTAGTAGTAGGGCATCGTGTTGTGTTGTTATGCATGTCTCATGTGCCGTTTCCCGCGCGCGCGCGCGCGCGAAACGGACTTCGCGGCTTGTAGTTTCTGTGCATAATTAGTTGAGTCGGCGTCTTGTTGTTTGGACTGGAGACTACACCGAGTTGTGTTCTTTTCGTTGTTTCAGTAAGTTACACCTTGCAGTTATTCCTCTCGTGTAGTTCAGTTGCTTTACTAGTGTCTCATCCTAAGTAAAGATTATTCGTTATTATTTCTGTGAGTCAGATCCCTCTCTCGTCTAGTGACACTACAGCGGCCTTCCAAACAGCGCCACGTCAGATACAGTAATTTCTTGCAATACATGGATGCCAAACTATCTAGACCAAGTCTCGCAAATAAAGGGCTTGATGGGCTACAAAAACCAGTATCGTACACTGAACGCAAAGCTCGCTTTAGCATTCGTTCAAGCCTATCTAACTGGGTTGAGGAAAGGCCAGCAGAAAAACAATTTGATGCATATAGAAAATCTGGCAACACTAGGCACTTTACAAAGGTTTCTCGGCAAGTCAGCGGAATATTGTGTCGATTTCGGAACAGAATACCAATTTTACTGGCAAGTTTGGTGACCATAGAATCAACTTGAGTCCTCCAAGAAAGATCCTGGTCCAAATGTATTTCAAGGTACTTTGCACATGTCACTTGCTTGAGCTGCACTCCATGACAGTAGACTGCAAATTTGTGGTCAGTAATATGTGGCGTAGACAGGAAGAGCACTTGTGTCTTCCGGGCATTTAGAATTAAATTGCGGTTTGACAGCCAGGTACTAATGGCTGAGACAGCTGCAGACAGGGAGTTGCTAAGCGCATTCTTCTGCGTACCGCAAACATACAATAGAATATCGTCAGCAAATTGAATAACTTTCACACAAAACTCGGAGATAATGGACTGGATCGAACGAACATAGAGTACAAAAAGCAGCGGACCAAGAACAGAGCCCTGGGGAACGCCACACATGCAGGGGAAAGGAGGGCTATAGTTCTCAGCAATGTGCACTATTTGGCGACGATTGGACAAATAGTCGGCAAACCAAACTAATGCTGAACCAGATATGCCAAGCTCAAACAAATCATTAATGAGCACTTGGTGCCTGACCTTGTCAAATGCTTTGGACATATCCACGAGCACAGCACCAGTAATTTGTCCGGCATCGCGAGCGCGAACAAACGTGTCCGTGACGAAAACTAGAGCGTCTTCCGTTGAATGTTGACATCTAAAGCCAAACTGACAGGGAGGGTACAAATTCTCCTTGTCCAGAAATGAGGATAGTTGTCTATGGACAATTCGTTCTAACAGCTTCGACATAATGAACGTCTTGGTCTTTCAATAGTGGGCTTGGATGGTGGATTAGTTGTGGTTGCTGTAGATTGCATTGTTGGTGGTGGTGTGGGAGCTGCTGATACGCAAGGTGGGTCTTTTTGAGTTGGCAATTGTAGTGTTATTGCCATTGTCGATGTTGCTCGCGGTCTGTCACTGGCAAGCTCCACCGCCGCAAGAGCCGACGGCGGAGGATCAGGAGGAGGCAGTGGGACCGGGACCGCAAGCGGCACCACCCCAGCCAAAGCCGCCGGGGGCACTGACGAAGGAACCACCGACGGCAGGAGCAAAGGCGGCGACACAACCCGATGAGCCACCACGCCCACCCTCCTCCACCACCGCCACCAGCAGCGGCGGAGCAAGCACAGTCTGTGAACCAGGATCCACAAGTTGTGTAGGGGACTCCTGTGCTCCTGTTCCAAGGCAAACATAAATAGACGGGACAACGAGCAAGACCAAACACAGGAGCCTTAGTAGTTTGTTCGACTTTCAACAACTTCTGCAACAAAAGCTCAGGGTACCCGTTCTTAACGAAAACTGACCGGAGAAAGTCAATAATATTTATTAGGCCATGTGAAATATATTGATTGTTTATCGTCAGATTTTCCTGAGAAATCGGGGCGGACGGGAGGTATTTTATTTTATTTTTTATTTTGCATGTATGGCTGTATGGTAGGTGCTCGCAACCTCTAGACATGCCTCTTTCTTCAATTATCTTTTTTTGGAGCCATTTTGCACAGATTGAGATAAATCCATGTGATGCAGATGAATCGTCAGCCGCGAATAACATCTTGCAAGATCATTTTGATGCAAATTGATGCAAATAGGGAAAAGTGAAACAACCAACGTAGGACAACAAAGAGAATCAGGCAGCTGGTAATTTCTTTCACTTTTCAAGCCTATAGCACCTACACTGTACATGTATGATTCAATCTGCGGACTTCGCCTTCCAAGATCTACAGCCACGCTCATTAGAGGCCGTATAGGCACAGATCGCAGTACATACAGTACATTTACTGGAATTAAAAAATATAATAATTCGGCCGGGAGGGCGCAAAATCGGGGCGGGCACGGACGATAAACAATCATTTTTTTTACTTGACCAATAATAACTAAATATTGCGACAGAGCTTTCGGCCATATTTTCAATTCATTGCATTCCCAACTCATCACAACCACGCGCTCTTCAGCCGAACCATACAGACACCAGCAAGGACACTTCCGTTGAGAGATAATATTGCTCCACGCCCCTAGACAGCTGTTTCGCTCCCTGTCGGAGCTCATCAGTAGAGGATGATAATGATGATAATGGAGGAATGATCATTCTTATACACCAGAAATGGCGCAAGTGCGCGCTTTCCACATATATCAATGGCATATGCAAGCTGCTAAAATGGTAAAGTGTGAGAACAGCGATAAATAATCATAGTACGCGCTCATTGGTGGAGAAACACACCACACAAGCGACGAAAATCTTACTCGGAATACTGATGCCAATGGAAAGTACACGTATGTTGTTTATTATTATGATGTTGCAAAGTCCATGTATGCAGGCGAGGCGAGACTCACCGCCGAGATCCCCCAACGCGACAGGCTCGGTTGCCGTTCAGGATTCACACTGACCTGTCCGCCCGTCAACAGGATCGACAGCGGGAGGCCCCACTGATGCCGATGTCGATGCACACCAGGAAACTTGTAGTCGTGAGTGTGATACTAACAGGTCTAGTAGCAACCACTGACAAACGAGAGGCCAGCTGGGGCATTCACTCCAGTCAGGGATGCTTGGTCGACGCTTCGTATCAGCAGCTCAGCTCAGTTTGATCAAAGATGTTGCAGATGTGTCTTGCTTTCCTCCTTCCTTCTTCACCGACTCGTCTTGTCATCTCTCCTTCTTTCTTCACCGACTCTTCGTGTCCACTCTGCTCTGCCACTAACGGCGCATTAAAACTTCAGAACTAAATATTGCGACAGAGCTTTCGGCCATATTTTCAATTCATTGCATTCCCAACTCATCACAACCACGCGCTCTTCAGCCGAACCATACAGACACCAGCAAGGACACTTCCGTTGAGAGATAATATTGCTCCACGCCCCTAGACAGCTGTTTCGCTCCCTGTCGGAGCTCATCAGTAGAGGATGATCAATAATAATAATAAGAAGAAGAAGTCTGAAGAAAATGTTGAACGGCCTCTGCTGGGATGACGACTACACCATAGCTCAGTGGTTAGAGCATCGCTGGCTACAAGCGAGGGTCCCTGGTTCGAGTCCTGGTGGTGACAGTCAATTTTTTCTTCAGACTTTTCCCGTTTGTCTCTTTCCTTCAAACCAGTTAATAATAATACTAATAATACTAACTACTACGTTATGGAGTCTGCGTCGCAACTGTCATCACAATTATGGCCGAAAATGTGCCCTTGCAAGGAAAGATCTTTTTGTTGCACGCTGTCATTTGTTGGCAGCACTGTATTTGAATGTGAGCAGACCGTGCGCAACTACTTCAAGTAGTCGTATCATGGAAACACGCGAAAGTGTGCAGAATTTTGCTCCAAGTCCAAAAAATCACGTTTTTTAGCCGTGCAGCAGGACTTTTGCCAGCACCCTCGTGACGTTGCAAATATGTGGCTTGATTATTGTAGTTGACGTTGATTTAGTGACTTTGGCAAGTTTGAGTCGTGTCAAGAAGTCAGGTAGGATTCAGTACTAGGCAGTAGTGGAACGTGAGTGGTAGTCTTTGCCGATTTGGTTTGCAGCGCTGTGGAAATGGCTTGCTGTGGAGGTCCCAGCACTGGATGTTGTATCAAAGGTACGACTTCGTAGCACGCCCTAAAGCCAGGTAATAGGGGATTCACACACACGGGAAAACCTGAGGGCACGGGACAAGGTAAAAGTAACTTAGTTCAGACCGTCGGGCAACTGAGTGGGGCCGTTCACACGCGTGGTCACTTTTTTCCCTTGGCCTCATGTCTGACCATGAATTTGTGGCGGGGGAGTACAAAACGTAGTCTGTACTGCATTTTTTGTAGTACATTTAGTACTATGTTTCGCATGCGCAATGCGTGGGTCCATTGTCTGCAATGCGTGCGAGCTAGGCCTAGCCCAAATTTGCCCGCAATTCTTCCAGCAAACTATCGAATTTTCCAACGAAAAGAAATTGCTGGCAAATTTCGAGCAAAATATCGAATTTACAGAGGATCCGGGTGTGTTTTGGCAATTTTATTCAAATTTCCTTGG